CAGGTCGCTGGGACCTCTGGCGTGGAGCAGCCGGGTTAAAGGGGGAGGGGCCGGCGGGGATAAAGGCGCAGCACGTGCGCTCGGCCTCCACAGGACCAACAGACCGAGCGGGCGGGGCCAGCCGGGAGGCGGCCTCCCCCCGGGCTTCACGCAGGGAGCCCAAATATTGGGAACAAAAGCGGGAAAAGAAGAGTGAGAGCAGGAGGGAGGGAGGGAGCAAGAGAGGGAGCGAGGAAGCAGAAATTAGGGGGTCTTAGATGAAAAAAAAAAAGAAAGTAGCTTTAGGGGGAATGTGCCGTGGAGTGTGAAATTGCAGCCCATGGTGCTCCATATTGTACCAGAAGCTCTTCCAAAAAAAAAAAAAAAAAAAGCCATCCTCCAACGTGACCAGAGGGCTAGGAAGGGGGAGGGGCGGGGAGAGAATGGGGAGGAGGAGGGGAGAGGGCTGGGCGGGAGCCGGTCTGGCCGAGCTGAAGAGGGGCCCGGTGCTTGGGCGGGCTGTCTCGTCTCCGGTCGCGGAGAGTGGGCCCCAGGGTGCTCCAGGACCCAGAGGGCGAGTGGGCTGTGGCCTTCCCGCACTTGGATTGTCAGTGAACTTTCTTTCTCTTGGCTTTTTTCTCTTTTCTCGTGGTATTAGTGGTGACTTCCCAAACTGGCACTAATTCAGAAAAAGAGCTTGGCTGCAAAGCTGCTACTCTGCTCTACCTTCCTCTCTTCTCTCCGTTTCTGCTTCTCTTCCCTTCAAACTAGTTTTTCCCCCCTTGGTTCTAAACAGCTTTTTCCCCCCTGAACTTTAATGCGTTTAATTTGGTCCGCGCTGTGGGGAGCATTTCCTAGGGAGATACATTTAATTTCGGAATTTCTAATCCCCTCCCTCAGAGGCCCAGTCCTGGCTCCCTTTGCCACTCCCCAGGAGGTGGAAGGAGCGCGCGAGGAGGAAGAGGACCCCATGCCAAGGGGGAGGGGCATGGCTCCCTCGCTTCCCCAGGCCCCCACCGCCCAGGCGCCTCCCCAAACTGTTTGAGGTTGGGGGGGATCTGGAGTTTGGGTTCTGGGCCTGGGCCCTGCCTGCAGCACAGTGGCAGCCACGCCTCTGCCTTTCCTCACCCCGACAGAAAGCTCTGGGCCAGGGAACGGGGAGACTGGAAAAGGAGCAGAAGGGTGGAGAGGAGAGCTGGTGCAAGTGGGGGCAGCAGAAAGGGTCTACATGAACACTTCACTTCATGCACAATCTACCCAGAAACGCATCTGGTAGCTCTGAGCACTAGTCATGCTTGGCTTGGCTTGGGATGCCTGTGTATGTGTATATTTGGGGTGTGGGGGAGGAAGTCAATGGGGACCCTGTTTCTCCCACACCTACACCTGGCAGAGCAAGCCCAGGACAGCGCAAGAGTTAGGCCAGCTGCAGCTCAGCAGCCAGGAGGGAGGCAAGGGCTAGAGCACCGGGAGAGCCTGGCGGGGAAGGGAGCAGAGACGGCGAAGGAACGGAGATCCACAAGGAAGATTTATTGGGCAGATCAGATGCACAGAGGCGGCTAATGAAGCAAATCCCGAGATGGGTATCAGAGCAACTCCCCAAAAGTTTATTTGCCTTTAAATTTCCGCAGGGAGGCGGGCGCCTTGTTTGAAGTGTAAATGCCCCTAGGTTGGGGGGTGGAAGGGCCGCTTTGAAAACACCAGAGAGAAAAGGTTCATTTAGAGGCAGACGGGAAAAGCAACCAACCCTGACAGGTCGGAGCCCGGGTTGTGTTTGGGGTTGGGTTGTTTTCTTTCTTTCTCTTTCTTTTCCTGTTTCCTCTACTTTCTTCGTCCCTTTTCCCCTTTCTTGCTTTTTTCTCCTCTACTAGATTCTATAGAAGAAAAGGAATAACAGGAAAGGGAGCATCAAGAGGGAGAGGCCAGCGTCTGGAGAAAAATCTGTAGGCCAGCCCTGGAGCCATAGGAGAAGTCACAGCCTTGGCCAAAATGTTTCTAATCATCAGGGATCATTGCTCTTTAACTTTCTAGACTGGGGAATGGGCTGGAGTTGAGGAGGAAGCTGCCAGGGGCTGGCTTAGTGGGAGGGTGAATGTCCAGCTAGTGCAGTGCTGGGGAAGGGGTCCCAGAAACTGGAGGTGGGTGGGGTGGGAGTGATTCTGGAATCTCAGAGGCTACCTGGGAGTTGGACTATCATGGGAGAGTCTTCTCTCCTTAGGGGGTACATGGGAAAGATAGATGTGTAAGTATAACTTCCAGTACACTTTGTGTATCAAGTCCCCAGAAGTTCCCTTTCACAAAATGTGAAATCCCTCTTGCCCAATACTTGATAATGCCTGTTGTCTGCATCCACATCTCTTCATAGTACGTGTAACACAGAGATATGTCTAGCTGGTTCTAGAAAAATCTGTGAGTCTATGTGTGTGTGGAGGGTGTTCTGGGCAGTCTTATTCCTCCAATAGTTCGGACTCCCCAAGACTTATTAACTTCCTGGACCAACATGGGGAGACCTGGGGCAAAGGGCTCCTTCATTTCTGAGCTCCTCTCAGTAAGGATCCTTCCTCTATCACCCTGTTTCCACCTCAGTCTTGGTTAATTACCTTCCTGAAGGAAGCCCAAGGCTGTACCAGGTAATACCACCTGAGAGCCGCTTTCTCCTAGGCCTGGGAGCCTTTCGCTTTAGGCTGCGAGGATCTGTATTTTCCTTTCTTTAGCTCCCCACACGAAGTTAGTGCGTGTACGTGGGGTTGTGAGGCCAAAGCAAACCCGGGAGCGCCATCTGCAGGTCTCTAGAGGAAGAGACTGACCTTCGGGCTGGACCCTGCGCCTTCACCTTCCAGCCCAAGGGAACCAGCCCAGCCGCCCAAGGAAAGCGGGAGCGAGGGTTGAGAGGGAGGAGACTGGCGGGGAGGTTCTTTTTTCCCCCTCCCAGAAGTTACTCTGCAGGTGGATTAAGCGGCTCAGGCTCGGGAGGCTCCAGGAAGGGGGGCAAATGTCAGGATTCCAGCCGACTCAAACCCGCAAGGAGTGGGAGGACCAGAATCCTGTGGGACTGAGCCTGGCTGGATCCCTGCCTGAAGATTAAGGGCACTCAGAACACCCGGGTGCAAGAGGCCCAGTAGGAGTCTCCTCCTGGCTGAGTGGGGCAGGGGCGGCCCCCATCCTGGCTGCTGCCTGGGCATCCACCAGCGGGACAGCCGCGCGAGTCTGCGGCTCTTTCGCGGGCACCAGGGTCTGCAGGCAGAGGCCAGAGGCGCCTGGAGACTGGGCAGCCAGAGCGGAGCGCGGGGCTTCCCGGAGCCGCCCTTTCGCAGACCCAGGGAAGCGGGGGGAGGGAGCGAAGGAGGGAGAGAGAGTTAAAACATCAGCTGAAGTGCCAAGATGATTTATGAGACGAGGGAAAATATTTCATAAAGATCTCCCGGATATTCTGTACTTAACCAGTTAGGAGACAAAGGGCTTCTCCTGCCTGGTGCGTATGAGCGGACCCGAGCGAGTGCGGACGAGGGCTGCGGAGGCTGGGCCAGAGGCTCTGGCAGGAGCGGGGCCGGGCCGAGCGCGCTGCGCCTCCTGCGCTAGCTCCGGAGCCGCCGAGCTGGCAGCGGGCGGCGCTCAGCCTCGTTCGCAGCCTCTTCTCCCCAGCCGGGAGTGCAAACCTCGTCTCCCGCGTCCTCTGCCGCCAGCGACCAGTCACTCTGCACTGTCTCCTTCCCCAAGCCCTTCTCCCAGGCCATCCGAAGGCCCAGAAGCCAAGTCCCCGGGCTCTCCCACCGTCTGCTGGGTCCCACCGAGGCAGGTGGGTCCTCCCTGGAAGTCTCCAGCTCCATCCTAAACCGAGCGTTCTGGGCTGCCCAGACCCGGATGGCCAAGGAGAAGAGGGAAGCCCTCCGCGCAGCCGCGCGTGGGATGAGAGAGGACAAACTGCCGGGCACTTTGCCCCGGAATGAGAATTGGGGGGTGCGTGGGTGGGGAGGTACCTCAGGAGGGAAAGGCGAAAGGGAAGGACCAGAGAGAGGAAGGAAGAATCAGGAAGGAACGGAAGGGAACTCAGGGCTGAGAGGAGGGGGGTTAAGACTAGGGATGCGGACCGGGTTTGGGGCCGCGTGGCCCACGCGGGCACTGGCCGGCGGATGGCAGGGCTGGGTGAGTTGGGACTGGGAGCCTGGCTTCGGAGAGCGGCGCGCTCCGCGGCACTCCGTCGTTGCCTGAATATTCATTAGACTGGCCGCTCTTTATCCTTATCTAACGTTTATCTTATCGGCGAGTTTCGTTTCTCAGTGTAGTTTTAATCCCGGGCTCCCCTTTCCCCTCCCCCTGGCCCGCTCCCCTCCCTCCCTCTCCCTTCGCCCGCCGCTCCCTCCCTCCCTCCCTCCTGTTTCCCCCTCCCCTCTCCTCCCCTCTCCGGCACCGGAGTGACAGGCGCGGGGCCCTCCTCGCCGAAGCTCGGGGCTCCGGCGCTGGCGAATCACAGAGTGGTGGAATCTATTGCCTTTGTCTGACAAGTCATCCATCTCCCAGCGCGGGGAGGGGGAGGGGGTCTGGAGGGGGCTTTGCAGCTTTTAGAGAGACACACACCGGGAGCCGAGGCTCCAGTCTCCGGCCGAGTCTTCTCGCAGCCGCAACCCACCTGGGGCCAGCCCAGTGCTGCCGGCGCTGCTCGGCTCCCTCCCTCCCTCCCGGCCCTTCGGCCGCGGCGGCGTGCGCCTGCCTTTTCCGGGGGCGGGGGCCCGGCTCACGCTCTCCCCTCCCGGAGGCGCCCGCTCGGACATCCCGAGGATTGCTACTTCTCTGCCAACTTCGCCAACTCACGGGCACTTGGAGCGGCCCCGCTCCCCGCCCGGCGCCCTCGGGCCGCCCCCGCTCCTCACCCTCCCAGACCGCCGCCTCTCGGATGCCCGGGCTCCCGGGGAGCGGAGCGAGCCGCCTCCCCCGCCCAGCCTCAGCCCTGGCCTGAGCCGCGGCGCACGCCATGCGCCCCCAGATCCCCCCGGCTCGGCCCGCCGCCCTGGGGCCGCTCTGCTGACCGCCCAGCCCCGCGCCCCGACGGTGGGAAGTTGCGGTCGCTGAGGTTGCAAGCTCCGATCCGCCCGCGAAGCGTCCCCGCGGGGAGCACAGCGCGGCGCCCCCCGCCCGCCCCGCCGCAGCCGGGCTCCGGCTCACCTCCCCCCCTCCCCAACGTCCCTCCCTTTTCTCCTCAAGTCCTGAAGTTGAGTTTGAGAGGCGACACGGCGGCGGCGGCCGCGCTGCTCCCGCTCCTCTGCCTCCCCATGGATATGCACTGCAAAGCAGACCCTTTCTCCGCGATGCACCGTGAGTACCGGCGCCCGGCTCCTGTCCCAGCTCGGGGCTCCCCATCCTAACCCTCTCCTGCCCTGTCCCGTCCCAGCGCGGCCCGGGCTCCCTGAAATCGGGTCCCATCTTGGAGACCGCACTGGCTTCTCCAGCCCCCCCCCCTTCGCTCTTCCTCTTCCCCTTGTTCCCCTCTCTTCTTCAGTGTTTCTAAAGCCTCGGGTTTCTCTCTTTTGCCTAATGTCACCAATACTTCTCCCTCTACCTGCCTTCCTACCTTCCCTGGTGCCCATCACCTGTCTTCCTTCTTTCCACCTGCTCCTTCTTAGGTCATCATTCCACAGCCCCTGGCCCTCGCTCCAGCCATCCTACTCCCTTGTCACCGTCTTGCCCTGGGCTGGGAGACTAATTGGCAGGCAGTTTTGAGGGGTTTGTGTTGTGTTCTCTGTTCTCTCTCTTTCTCTCTCTCTGTCTCCCCCACCCTCCATTCATCTCTACCTTTCTCAAACTTAGAGAGTGGTCGTCCAGGAGGAGACTCCTAGCATGGGCAGCTTCGGTGTCAGGACAATCAGGCAGAAGAGTGTGGGGGTGGGGTGCCCCCATCTGACTCTCAGCTCCCAGCATCTTCAGGCCCTGGCAGCGCAGCCAGGGCTTCTTGTGAGCTGGTTTGTATTACTTCCTCTTCTTTTCTTTCCTACCTCCTTCCCTTCTCCTTCCCCTTCTCCTTGAGTTGGGACTCTGAGATTGGCAGGACATGGTGGTCATCTTTCTCTGCCTCTCCGTGGGAGATGCTCTAAAAACAAAGAGGGGTTCCAAGAAGAGACCAAGCTTCGTTTGCAGTTCTGGAGGCTCCTTGCCGGCCTCCCATTCCCTGGTGAAAATGGTCCACTGGCCAGTGGGTAGTCAAAGGGGTAAAAATAAGGAAGAAAGAACAAAAGGAAGGCAAACGCCAAAGCTAGGGAGAAAGGGAAGAGGAATCCAAAAAAGGGGAAGAAAAGAAAAGAAAACAGAAAGGATGTTACAGAGAAAGGGGAGAAAAAATGAAGAAGATACCAAAAGACGGAATTATTCTAATGAGATTTGAATTTATCTAATTCATATCATATGTCTTTAGCTTGGAGAACAATTCAGAGATTTTTTTGCAGGCTTCCCCACCCCCAGATAAATAGATTCTAATAAAAAAACTTCTCCTCTTCTGTAGATTAATAATTAAGGATGATTTGTAACTTTTCACAGGGAAACTTTTTTAGACCTGGGTTGGATCAGTACTTCGGACAAGAAAGCCAAGGAGGAAGAGCTCTGTTTTTCTCTAAGCATTTAATTAGTGTTATGGGGAGTGGGAAGGGGCTTTAAAAAATACTCCTGGGATAAAATATATTTTCCTAAATAATTTCCGGGCACAGGTAATCGGAGTCAGGTGCCTTGGGCCGCGGCGGGTCTCCGCGAGCTGAGCCAGAAATCCTGTCTCCTTTCTCCGAGCGAGTGGAACCCGGTCGGTCGACTCTCGCCGCCTTCGCCCAGCCCGCGGCTGGCTTCCCTGCCCCGCCGCCTCTGCTCTCGCTCCTTTCTCTGACCAATTCCGCGGGGCATCTGCCGAGTCCCTGCCGCCCACTGGGTGTCACTTTGAAACCCAAAGGGAAGCAAGGAGAGCTGAAGGCGGTGGGAGGAAGGGAGAGACCGTGGCGCGGGCGGGCTGGCCAGCAAGCAGCCGCAGTCCGAGTCCGCGGTGGCGGCGGCCGTGGCGCATTCCAGGCCCGACTCCGCGGCGGCTCCCGGTCCCAGCCCTGGACTTCTACCGTGCCCCCTTTCCATCCCCTTCCTTTAGATTGGGGCCGGGGGGCCGGGCCCAGAGCCCGGGGAGGCTGAATTATTCATCTTTAATCTGCCCGCAGCTGCCGCCTTTTCATACGGGTAACGCGAGTTCTCCCGGGGCCTAAATTATTGATGGTCCGGGTTTGGAGGGAGGGGAGGGTGAGGAGTGGGGCTAGAGGTAGGGAGAGTAGCGGGAATGAGAGCCAAAAATAAAAGGTTCTAGCCTTCCCCAGCCTCCAGATCAGAAGCCTGTCCCCAGGGATTATACCGGCCCTTGCTCTCAGTACCCCCAGAAGGGGACGGGAAAGAAATGAGCAGAACGCAGATGTTCCCGCTTTCTCCGAAAGTCGCCTGAGGCTAGCAGGGCAGGGGCTGTAGGTTGCCGGCCAGGTCAGGCTGGCCGCTAGAACTCTCTGCGCTTGGATTGCTCAGTAACTGCGGCTGCGGGTTGATCGCTCTGGGTACAGGATTTCTAGACTGCTGTAGGCCATGGGGAATAGGGTGCCGTGCAGTGTCCTCAGGCCTGGCATCCGGTGACCACTTGGGCTCCGAGGTTGGGGGGCTCCCCCGCTAGAATTGGGTTGGAGACCCAGCGCCCTCCTCCTGGTCAGGAGAGCAAACACCTTTGCTTCCCAGTGTCCTGGGAGGCTGCCGAGGTCTAGGAGGTCAGAGGGACGGGAGCTGGCTCTGGCTGGCAGCACAGGATGCCCCGTGAGTCGTCAGCCCATCTGGGTGACCTGTACCATGCTACCTAGGGCAAGGCAGTGGGTCCCAAGCCTGGCTCAAGGCGGCAGGCAGACGAGCCCCAGCAGCCTGCGTTCTCTGGCTGCTGCAGAACAGAACAGAGCGCCGTGCGGCTTTCCACTGCCTCCCTGGCTTTGAGCGCAGCAGACTCCAGGCCCCTGCAGTCTTCAGCCTTCCCTCCTCTATCTGGCTTTCTTTGAAGTTTAGACACTAGGGAGATGAGTGGGAAATATGACCCCCAAATATCTAAAGATAGAAAACATAAAGGAAAGGGAAAATCCCCATCAAAACCCAGAATAAAACAAAAACAAAAACACAGTGAAGGAGGTAGGCACACTCCAACTCTGATTAAAAATAGATATAAGAAGTAAGGAGCAAAAAGGAGGGTGTCAGAGACTTAGCCCCTTTCTGTGCTCGGAGCCCTTTTGTACCGAGTCAACCGGTCCCAGGGCCCCCAAAATCATCTGCCTCCAAGCGCTAGCACACACCGACTCCCCCTTGCTTGCGGCTCAGGCGGGATCCCGCTTCACGCTGCTTCTGTTCTCTGCTCCACCCTTCTTTTCCTCTCCTACATTCTTTCCTGCCCGCATTAATCCCCCTTATGTCCTCTTCGCACCCTGCTTCTCCATTCCTTCTCTCACTTTCTCCCTTGAGAGGTACTGGTCTTAGAGCCTAGCTCTTCTCGGCTCTCAGCCCTGTGTCTGCGTTTCCGCGTCTCTACACGGCCTGAGTTTCAATCCCCAATCCCCGCCGAGTGGTGCTCCGCAGACCGCTGCTCTGCCGAGAGTTCCCCATCAGGCCCCTCTGCCCTGCCTGCTCCCTTTGCACATCCTGGGCCGCGGACCCTGACTAATGGCTAATGGCCCGTCCCTGCTGTGTGTGGGGTGTTGTGTTTTTTTCTTGTCTCTCCCCAGCAGGGCACGGGGGTGTGAACCAGCTCGGGGGGGTGTTTGTGAACGGCCGGCCCCTGCCCGACGTGGTGAGGCAGCGCATCGTGGAGCTGGCCCACCAGGGCGTGCGGCCCTGCGACATATCCCGGCAGCTGCGCGTCAGCCACGGCTGTGTCAGCAAAATCCTGGGCAGGTGAGGGCCTCAGAGCTGCCCCTGGGAGTCGCCTTGCCTCCTTATCCCACGGCCCTGGGTCTCCAGACCGAGGACTTGGCTAAAAGTCCAGGACGCCAGTGGAAGAGGGGGTATCTAGATACGGGGTGGGAGGGTATCTAGAGAGTGGCTCCTTTTGGACAGGGTGCTCAGGTGGTGGCCAGGACCCCAGGAACAAGGGCAGAGCAGGATCATTCAGCTCCTGCCCAGCCTTGAGCCTTGGGGTTCTTGTGAGCAGGCTGCCAGATACAAGACTTCAGAAAGGGAGGGACTCCTCTTCAAGCAGAGTTAATGCAGACAGTGGGGTGGGTGTTGAAGGAACAGGGTGGGGAGCATAAATGGGTCCCCAAGAGGAGAAAAAAGTCAGCACTGGGGAGGGTTGAGGAGGGTCCTGCTCCTGGTTCTCACCAGGGCTCTGTGCTCAGTAGGAAAGGGCTGGAGGTGGTGCCTCAGCCCTGGTGGGCCTGGAGGCCTGAAAGTGTGTTCTTCCTCCTGTTCTTTCCAAATGAAAGACTGGGCTTTCAAACTCCCAGGGACATGTATTCCCACTGGTGTGCTTGCAATCCCTGGCATGACTGTCTTCCTGGAGGGAGTGTCTCTCTCATCCTCCATTCTCCTCCTCATCCTGAAGCCCATCCCTCACCCTAGCCAAGCACCCTCCAGAAGCTGGCTCAGCCATGCTGAGTCTTTTCCCTCTATGATGCTGCCCTGCCTCGGGTGGGAGAGTGCTTTACTGCCCTGGAGCCTGCAGCCTCCCCGCCCCTGCCGTGGCCTGTTCTCGCTGACCCCGCCGGCCTTCCCGGCGCAGGTACTATGAGACCGGCAGCATCAAGCCTGGAGTGATCGGAGGCTCCAAGCCCAAAGTGGCGACGCCTAAAGTGGTGGACAAGATTGCTGAATACAAGCGACAGAACCCAACTATGTTCGCCTGGGAGATCCGAGACCGGCTCCTGGCTGAGGGCATCTGCGACAATGACACAGTGCCCAGCGTCTCTTCCATCAACAGGTGAGTAAGCCACCCAGGACTATAGGGCAGGACTCCAACTCCCAGCTCCTGCCTATCAGGGTATCTCCCAGCTTGCGGGTCTGTTCTTTCTCCAGCCTCTGCCCTGCCTCCAGGCTCTCAGCCCCCAGAGTCCTTTGGGCAGGGAGAGGGGACCTGGGAGGCAGAGAGATAGACAGACAGACAGAGCGATCTCCAGCTTACGGCTGGGTATTCCTGCCAGGCTTCTCCCGCTGGCGTCCTGGAAATGAATCCAAGTGTTTGTGGTAATTAAGACTCCAAGATTACGTGCCTCAGTATCTAGAGACAATCACAGCCCGCAGCCTTTAAAATGACCACTGTCTATTCATCGCTTCCAAACAGACTTGCCTTTCTAAAGGCATGCTCCCTTCCCCAGGGGGAGCCGCCTATCCTGGCTTCCCCACCCTCCCCGCCAACTCCCACAAAGCTTGCATCCCAGGAGCCCTGTCCTTGCTAGGCAGCTCGGCACAAATTTCCGGTCTACATGCACGGGTATCCAAGCCTGCAGAGCAGTCGCCAACCACCAGCCAGCAATTGGCAGGGAGTAGATAAACTGGACAAGGAGTGGGACACCAGGCAGGCAGGGAGAGCCCTGGACCTCGAGGTTCAACTTTAGGATGCTTAGGGCCAGGGGAAAAGTCTGCATGGATGAAAGGCTCAGTGACATGGGGATGGCATAGGCTGGAGTCAGCTCGACATATAATTGTGCAAGATAGTCTCCCAGTCCCCAAGTTACTCCAGCATGCTCTCTGGGAACGTATACATGCACACTCCATGTATGTATACCACACCAGTGTGCAAATGGGGCTGTGTTGGGTACAACACATACAAACAGCAATTGGATGCAAGAACCCAGGATGGCTTCAACATCACAGAACTGTACAGTCTGACATCAACAGAGACCCTGTACAAGTTCCAGACAGCTTGGCCAGCCTTTCTACCCCTGCCCCCCATTTTAAGGCAGATTCCCAAATGAGAAGAAGGCTGAGGGTTTCATACCCTTGTTATTCTTTGTACTCTTCATAGACTCATTATCAGGACAACTAATAATTTGGATAGTGCCTTTTGCTGAAACTGGCATCATGTATCAAGGGTTTTTTTTTAATATTTTGCAAATGATATGGAATTATCCCAAATCATCCTGAAAACAGCAGGTAAAATTAGCTGGTAGAATGTACCTTGGCTAAAGAAGATTCCCTCTGCCACACTCGTGCTGTAACGTACTGCGAGGCGACCCCAGAAATTATCCCAGTGTGTGCCATCTGTATTAAAATGGTTATTCAGTTATGAACAGGGTAACATAATACTGATCAGCTAATTATACACCCTCCGAAAACCCTCCAGCTCCCTGGGCCTGGCTCACTAGGCACTGAAAGCATAGCGGTTTGGCATTCAGACACTTTCAGAAGGAGCTGGAGAAAGACTCCGGGTGGTTTGGGAGAGGAATGTGTCTTTTGCATTTAAAAGCCAAAGCAGACTGGGGAAGTTTTGGGGCTAGGGCAGGACTGGTCTTTTGGGAAGGGCAGGGGACAAAGCATTTGTTTTCTGAGTTATCTGGAGACTCAGCCCTTTGGCTGTCTGCTGGTCCTGGGAGTGAGTTGGAACAGAGATCTTGGGCGGAGAGCAGCCTGCTGAGGAGCGATGTTGCTGGGACTGGGTGCTGGTGTACTGGGGGACATTCAAGAGAAATGTTTGTTGTCAGTGATAGGATTTGCAGGCCTTTAGAGGAACCCAAGACATGCACAGTTAAGGCAATTTGCTTTTCTTTTGGGTAGCGGGTTGGAGCAATCAAGGCACTTCTGGTGGCAGCATCCCTTGCCTACGACCCCATCTAGCACCCTGTCCCTCTTTCCCAACATATACCTTCAGTGGCTGAGGTGTTTTGGGCAGCTGGCTCATGCCAGAGTTTGGGAATTCTGAAAATCACAGAAAGCAGGGTAGAAGTGATCCCAGGATCAAGCTCAGAAGCTTTGGGGTGCACTCCCCAGAACTAGGAGAAAGTAGAGGAACGAGGAGGAAAGGAGTGGGTTGAGAGTAGAAGAATGGCCTCAGCTTGATAGCACTGAGAGCTTGCAGAATCAGCTCAGCGTGGAACCCTACCACCTGAGGGGCACCGCAGCTTCCTTTGGGCATGTAGAAATAGCTATCTGTGGGCAGGTGTTGCTGGAGATGGAGGGGGTGGGAGGAGAAGAACGGGGAAGCCACTGGCAGCCTGGGCAGCCAGCCCTGCGTCTGCAGTTAGGCTTCCTGGCTTGTCTTGTCGTCAAGGAGTAAACAGGGTGTTTTCGATGACACTTTGGGACCGAAGCCTATCACGGTTCAAATTTGGGAAATAATTCTGAGGGCTTCCCAGTGTGCTGCTGAGTTGGGGCTGGGGGGTGCATGTAGGGCCCCATGTTCTCAGCTTCATCCTTGTAGGTGCTTTTCTCTAAAGGAGGAATGGTTTATCTGAGATTTGTTGTTTTACCCTGAAACATGATAAAGGCAGGATGTTTCTGCCAGTGTTGGAGGTATCAGGAACTTTGTGAATTTTCACTCACCATTGGAAGAGCCTGGAGATTTTCCTTTGTGCAGAAAGTGTGGTGCATAGGGGCACTGGTGGTTCTTGAGTTTAGTCTTACTGTTGGTGAGGTGCCCACTTGTCTTAGGTACTTTATAATCATTGTAAGTATGTGCATGTCTGGTGGTTGGCAAGACAGGAAGTCCACACATGCTCACCCACCTGAGCCAAATTGTGAGTTTTTTTAATCTTCTCCTTCTCAAAACAGATGCTGTCGCCGCACTTGAAATATGCTGTTATGGTTATAAACTAAATTGCTTTTCATGCTTTAAAATTGGTTTTGGTTTCTCTGATCCTGTCGCGATAAAGGCTCGGACATTCAATCCACATACTCCACTGGCAAATCCTCAGAGAAATACCTCTCTGAGTCAGTAGAGTAGGTCAGAGAGGCCTCCCAAACCCACTCCAGCCCCCAGAGACCACTGTCAAAAATCCAGAGGGTTGACTAGATTGCTTAGCATGTGGAATTTATGTGACTCATTCTCAATATTGGGTTACTGATCACTGAGCATGGTGTTGCCAGCTCTTCAGCTTGTACACTGCCGCTGTAGAGGGCGGATGTTTATAAACAGGTGACTTGAGATTGAAACCTGGTGTGGGAAATGGCCTAGGGGGTGAAGAGATGGAGCGAGATCCATGTTACCAAAGGGGGAGAAAATCACCTCATTATATCGCTGAGCAATTGACTAGGCAGGGAGGATTTTCCTGATTATATGCCAAAGTCTTCTGGCTTGGCTGTTGCTCTGTGCAGAGTATACAGCTCCTTTGAAAGAACAGGCTCGAACTCCAGGTAGAGTCTAGGGTTACGGAGGATCCCCTGAGGGTGCTCTCTTGGAATGAGCTGACAAAAAGGCCATTGCTCTCTTAACTTTTCCAGCCTGCCCTACACTCTTGGGATCAGGGCATTCCCTGCCCTTAGATCTTCAGACTCTTCCAGAGTCAGTTTCTCACTGATCACCTGCTACCCACACTCTCTTTCAGCCCCTTTGGCTCTAAGTAAGCATGTTCATTTTCCTAGCGGTGGCAACAGTGGCTTCAAGGGGACAGCCGCAGCACTGTTCAGGGATTCCATCCTGTTTCATTTGCAGACCTCATCAGAGGTCTGGTGGCTTTGAGGCAACAGTAGTGGGCCAGCTGTTCATTTGAAGACCTATCAGAAAGAAAAAAAGAAGAAAGAAAGAAAGAAAGAAAGAAAGAAAGAAAGAAAGAAAGAAAGAAAGAAAGAAAAACTGGAAATGCTGAAGACATGTTCAGGGCTGGAGTTTGTGTCTCTTTTTCTGAAATTCAGGTTCTAGAACATTGCACATTTGACTCATAGACTCTTAGAACCTGGCTTGGCCTGAGTCTGAGCCAGAAGGGCAGCTTTACTTGCCACATCTCCATACCCTTGTAGCTGTTTGGTAGTCAGGGCTGTTGGTCTCATGGCAAAGGGTCAAGGCAAGTTAGTAGGCTAAGAAGAAGACTTCTGTCCTCAGAGAAGTAGGAGAAATAAGGACAGAGAACTTGCCTTTCGTGGCCCGGGGCCTTACCAGACTAGGGCCACAAATATGCCAGTTTCTGTCTGGGAAGCCTGTCCTTCTCCAGAGAGGGCTCTCCTGCTGCTGAGATCACCCATAATTTGACTAACATGTGAAATAGGTCCAACTTTGATCTTTCTTTCTTTTCTTTTTAGATTTTATTTATTTATTTATTTATTCATGAGAGACACCGAGAGAGGCAGAGACATAGGCAGAGGGAGAAGCAGGCTCCATGCAGGGAGCCTTATGTGGGACTTGATCCCAGGACCTCAGGATTATGCCCTGAGCCAAAGGCAGATGCTCAACCACTAAGCTACCCATGCATCCCTGTTGATCTAATTTCTTAAGTGTGCTGGCGTGGTCCTCCTGAAAAGCTGTTTTTGTTCCTTTAGTTACTTTAGGCTTCCTGGCCAGCAGTTGTATTGGTCTGTTTCCCTTGTCGGTTGGTTTCGAGTGGGCTTTCAGGCCACAGAATGGCCTTCAGGTGAGAGCAATGGCTGGTTGCCCTGGGTTCTTACCTCAGCTGGCAACTCCAGAGAAGAGAGAGACAGGCTCGGTTGTCCCTAAGGAGAACTCCAGGTAGGTTTTGGAGGGCGGTGCAAAGAAGAAAAGAGAGGGAAACTCCTCCTAACTAACTAAATAAATAGTGTCCCAACTATTTTGAGAAGTCAATAAAACCATCACATCAAATATGAAGAGGCATAAATCTTGTGTCGGCACAGGTAACCTACTCAATTGCTTTTATTATCGTTCAGGCTGCCTCCATTTATTACCGTCCACGACCTGGGCAAAGGAGGTTGCGTGGAGGGTGGTCTCCAGTGCAATCCTACACCCTGAGAGGCAACAATCAGCCCATAGAGCCAGGGATTTCGATGGGAGCTTGGGAAGGGCCCATCTGTCTGCAT